CTAACTCATTTATTTGGGCATAAGCTTTTGTGGGCTATAACTCACTTCATCAGATGCATGGAGTGGAAAATACAGTAAGCAGGTATAAATATACAGCACATGAAAAGATGGGAGTTGCCTTACCAAGTGGGGATCAGTGCTAAATTTTGAGCTTTTCTTCATCCTATTTTGGCAGAGAATCTCACTAATTCCCCTCACTGTGCATGCCCTGTTCATGTCTTTTGCAGTGTAATCTCTACTGGCACTGTGGAGTCCTGTTCAGTGGTGCTCTCCAGGCCTCCAGCTGTGAAGTTCTTGCCCCATGGATCTGTGACAGAGATCTGAATCTCCTGCTGCACTTTCCCAGAAAATGTCCATTGTTCATGCTTGCGGGATCCTGAATGCTTAGTAAGGTCACTCCTAAAGCTAAGGCAGTGGAAGGCAGTGCCAGCGAAACACTTCTCCATGGAATAGTAGTGCATAATAAGGTACATTGTGGGGTGAAGCAAGATACAGCTGTAGATATTAGAGTTTTATTTCAGACCCACTGGAAGGATTAATTTACAACAAACTGAGACCAAGACAGAGCAGATGCAGCCTCTTATACTGTCTGTCTTTTAGCATGAGGCCCTCTAGATAAAGCTTTTCTTAGGTAGGTGTCCAGGCAGAGTGTGCTTCTCCCTGGACTCTGCAAATGGATCACATCTACTAGTGACCAGTACTGCCCAGGAAATGGTAAATGCCTGTGCATTTTGATCTGTGACCTGACATTGCAGCAAAACCATTAGCAGATGTGAAAGTTCTGAGCCCTGTAGGGTAACAGGGAAACAGGATTATTGTAACATCTACACATGGCACAACAATGATTAACCCCTTTCACTTGTAAAATTAGCAGACATAACAGAAACAACAGGTTGTCAGGAAATCCACACTCCAAACATTTTCTTTAATAGTCTGCCTCAATTAACAGACCCAGCTCTTACCCCTCCATCCAGGACTGACAGCTTGTGCCCTCCCTTTAGGGCAGGGCAGGTATCTTTCCTTCCCTACAAGAAATCACAGTAACTCCTTCCTCTCATTGCTGAGGACACAGAGGGCATATTCACCCCCACCTCACTCCCTCAGAATCTTACATCATTTTAGCTTCTACAGTAAGAGGGTAAGGTTCCTGATTCACCCCATGTCACTTTTAAGCGCCATGACCCATTGATCTGTCTCAGAGACGGACTCTCTGTTTCCAGTCTCCTTGACTATGGCACTGCACCATCTGGGCAAAGAGGAATGAAGATGATGGTGTTGGGGTTGGCAATATTGATGATGTCTTGGTTTTGCTCGAGCTGCTGGTGCTCTTGTCAGTGAAAATGAAGCTGCTAGTGCTGAGTCAGGTGATCAGACAGTCAGAGAAGTTAGAAATGAGAAGTTAAAATGAGAAAGCCTTAGCCCCCCAGCTCATTTCCTGGGGCCAATGCAGGGTGTTTCCCTGTAGCACTTTCCTAGTGCCATCCTGCCATTTTAAATGTCCAAAACTTTGCAACTTCAAGTACTTCCCTTGGAGATCCTGTTCCAAGAGACTGAGGCCCTATGAGAAGAAAGTGTTACAAACTCTTTGACCTGACTACTGTGCATGTCATCGATACTGTTACTTAAGTTCAACATTTAAATAGCTGTGACCAAACTTGGAAGGCCTTGTCAGCATCACTGTAATTCAAAGATGAAAGCCCCATTATTCTGAGCCCTTTGGACTGGGGGAGGTCTTCTGAAATTAGCAGCCAATGAACTTCCTGTGCGGTTTCACATGAAACATCATAAAGCGACTAAACCTTCCTCTTTTGGCTTGGGCTCTCCATCTTCTGTCAGGACAGCCAAAGGGACAGATTTTCCCCCTGGGGACTGGAATATACAGGACCTGATCAGACACAGCACAGAAAAGTGCATTCCAGCTCTCCTGCCTCTTCCCAAATAACTACAGGTACAAACAAAGGTATCATGGCCAAATGCTTCTGGGGCTTTTATTATTAGAGTAGAACATTAATGTATGCAAACTATATTTGTGTTTTCTAATTCAAGAAATGAGAGTTTACCATGAAATATATTATATAGAGGTATAACTTTGATTTTTTCCCCTCTGTTTATAGTTTAGTACAAGTGGTATGGATGGTGTATTTAAAGATTTACTGGTGAGACAGTCCAGATGATGTGTAGTTTTCTGTTTATAGTTCTATGCTCTACTACTCCTTGGGGTAACATGCATTAGATATAGAGATGTCTGATCTAAATTCCTGGGTCTCAACAACTTTGAACTTTAGAGAAATCATCTAGCCCCATCTCTAGTTATTTTACCTGAAAAGGCAAAATCTACTAGTTCAGCATCTGACAAAGAAATTGGTAGATTCAATATATAGGGATAGCAGAAAACATTTGTTTGAGACAACAGTTTACATTAGTTTGGCTATGAATGAAGTCATTTGTTCTAAAAACTGTTGAAGGCTGTTGAGACAGGGCATGGTCCCACACCTGTCTCTTTTAACTTGGAGACCGTCTTCTGGTCAAAACACCTTGTGTAATTAATTTACATTGTTCTTTCCCACCACCTTTCCAGATGCGCAGTTCTGTATTTACAATAGCATACTAACCTTAAGGAGACAGAAGTTATCTTCCCCCTGAGACATTGCTCCTGGCTCTGACTCTGAAAAGCCTACCAGTCTCTCTCTTCCCCTCAAATATTTTCTCCCTGTGCCTTTCTACTTTCAGGGCTAATGGCTTAATTAGCCTTGTAGCTCTCTCCATTCCATCCACAACCTATTGATTAGGCACAGCTTTGCCCCTCGGGTTTACTCTGGGTGATTTAATTGGTGCTCCTGTGATCAGAATGCTGGTACAGCTGCTGTTGCCCAGCCTTTGTCACAGTTGTAAACAAAGGGAGAAGGTAAATGACAACATAAGCACTTGTTTGTGAAGATGGTGTCTAGTTGAGTACCACAGAGGACTGTATAGAGTCTTTGTTTACTTATGTATTTATTCATGATCTGTAAAAATGGGTGAATAACACAATAATGAAACATTACATGGGATTGTGCTGTGAACATCATGAAGGACTGTTCAACCTAGAGAATTTAGAAACATTGACAGGAAATAAATGAGAACCAAGCCGGACAAAATTAATCTGCGGGAAAATATTCTAAAACAATGAGATTTAATAGTACAAAAGACATTTTGGAGATCAGCAATTCTAATAGATTTATAGGGTGAAAATGAACAGAATAATATAGCAGCCAACAGCTAATTTAGATTTGTTTAAGCAGAAATAGCTTGTCACAGAGTAGGATGTCATACCTAGAATTCTGCATTCTGTTCTGGGCATCTCCATATGAAAAACATGTAGGGTATACTCAGATCTGCGGATATTCAGAGGAGGAATAAAAATAGTGATTAAGGGCAAGATCGATTCATTAATGAGGTATGAGGGAAGCTTAAAAAGAAGGGAGTAGTTAGAGGCTATGGTTGCTGACTAATGACAAAATAAGAGATTTTTGGAGAGCATGAAACAGTCTGCAAATATTGGAAGATGTAAACACAAAGGACAGAGAAAGAGATTGTTCTGGATAATCCAGAATATAATTTGAAATAATGGTATAGAATTAAGAAAAATTTAGACCAGACACTACAAACATTTTACAACAGTGAGTGACTGTGCAATAGCTTCCCAAAGGAACTGGTGAGAATGCAATCACTTAAGTTATTTAAAAATGGAAAGGACAAGTGTATTTAGGGTCTGATACAGCAAGAGGCTGAGTGCCGTCAGATCCTATTAATGTCATAGATGCTCAGCAAATTGCAGGAGGAAACCAACAGTGTGCAGAACAGGCCTGTACTGGTATTAAATGGATCTAGGAATAATGACTTGGTTTGTATTAATGAAAATGAACACATTACACCAAGGATAAAAGAATACAGAACTAAAAATAATATTGCTACCATAACCATAAACTCTTGTTCTAAGTGCTATAGACAGTTGGAGTTGAAGATTACTTTTCTATGTATTGGTCAATATCTTAGAGGTAGTGAATACAGGTGATTCCTTTCCATGATTTCTTATTATCAAATAGGGTTAATGAAACCTAGAAATCAAAGACAGAAAAGACCTTGAATGACAAGGCCATCTTGTCTATTATCCCTTTCACACTTACACATATCCCTCTGACTATTGAATTGTTCCCAAGAGTAGGATTTTTCAAGTCCATTTTTAAAAGGACGCATGGGAATGTTTTTTCCAGCCTCAATTTTTTTATCCTGTATCCTTTTGACTGTCTCCTCCAAGCCTCTTATATCCTGAATCTATCTAGTAACAATAACCCCTCATTTCTCTAATGGGTGCCACTTTGAAGGTCAAAATGCTGTATACAGAATTACTATGATTATTTATTATTTGTATGAAAGTACAGCCTAGAGGCTCCAACCAAGTTCAAGGAAGCATAGTGAGGGACAGTCCCAGCCCTGAAAAGTTTTCAATCTAAACTACTGTATAAAAAATTAAAGGGGGTTTAGGTTGTTCAATTTTAACATCAGTTTCTGTGAGGCTTAGAGGTAGCCAAAATATATTTCAATTGTTCATACGTTTAAGTAGAGGGCAGATAGCAGAAAAAAAGATAAGATGCATGTGCTGCACTTATGTACTACATTATGCTATTTCCTCTCGCATTTCTATTCCTCTTGATACAGATTATTGTAATGTAGTTATTAAAACCAATCATTGCAATGTTCTGATATTTCTTACCCGGTGTGATGAATGTCTCATAGATCCATTAGTTGTTCATTAAATGTCATCATCCCGAAGAAGAGCTCTGTGTAGCTCGAAAGCTTGTGTCTCTCACCAACGGAAGTTGGTCCAGTCAAAGATATTACTTCACCCACCTTGTTTCTCTAATATCCTGGGACAGAAACATCTGCAACTCTACTGCATATTATCCATCATCATCCACTAAAGCAGAGTCTACAGTTTCCACACTTACAGTCCTCTAGGAATGAATGAGCAGGAAGTGACTTACACAGAACTGAAACATCACACTCCTTCTGAGCAGCTGAGGAGTCAAAGACCTAGGAATTCTGAGAGCAAAGGTATTGTATGTTAACATGCTGCTAACATATTTTCTGTTTAATGTCTATAGTCAAACCTCTACTCCTCCACCCCTGGAAACTGACACTAGACTTTTGGAATTGTAAAGTAAGAATATCCCTCTGTTATATTACCCAATGCCATGCTTCTTAGAAGATAACAACATCTAGGAGCAAGTAAGGGTGACAGTCACTGAGGTTTGAAAATAGGACTCACAGCTCTGGCAGTCATGAAATATACCCAACTGCTCAAGCAACATGCAATGGCAGTTAGATTGGAGCTGGCTTTCAGACCTGATCTGGTGGGTAGGTTTGGGTTCCATGTACTGCCCAAACTATAGTCAGACCCCAGATTCTCAGGACAGGGGCTCACTCTGACCATCTTTATATTCATTCTCTTCCTGTCAGACCCATCAGTTCCAGCTTCTCCCTGGCGGATCATTGCAGTGATTCTGGGGATCCTCTGCCTGGTGTCACTGGGAGCAGCAGTGGCCTTGGCTGCCAAGGGTAAGTATTTTCAGGAAAGACACCAAGGGCCAAAATCTGATATTAATGCCACTGGTCTAAATACAGATTGACACCACTGAAAATAAGAGTGTTATTCTAGATTTACAGTTGTGACTGAGAGCAGTATCTGGCCCTCGGGATCTGCTCTGGACCATGAGAAACAATTGCAGGTAACCATTCTCCTTATGAATGCACTTAATTCTCTTTTCCTGAGATGTCTAAACACACATTTTTCCTGGTTTTCCCTGGCCCAGGAACGAGTGCACAAGGGATGGGCAGAGTACATCAGATGGGGAATGTACAAACAGCTGCTCCCATTGCCTGTGAAAGCTCCCAATCAGGGTGGCTGTAAGTCTGGACATTAACACAAGCTGTGTTGGGTGCCCATCCATTTACATGTCATGTCCAGAGTGGGATTTGAATGCTGTCTGGAATAAGGTGAAATAGAGATAAGGCCCAGAAGTGGCCGGTGAGACAAAAGCAAGCCTAGGTGGAGCTTTGCTGTGATTTATGAAGGACAAACAGGAACGGCAGCAACAGTTCAAGGAGTATCTACTTCAAAGTCACAGGAGAGGTTAACTAGGCTGCACTGACCAGTCTGCCAGTAGAGCCTTGCATTTCCTTGCCCCAAATGGGATTGGAAGATTATCCAATTATTGGTTACTTTTGAGCTGGTGGTTACTGTAGCCCAGTGAGAAGTAATCCTGAGCTATCTGATTTGTTCCTTTTTTTATAGGAGAGGAGCAAACTGTGCAGTTGGCCTAGGATGTTACTGCAGATGGCAAGGCTGAATAGGCTGCTATTGTGGAGAGATGGGGGTCTCTGCAGAAAAGTATTGGCAGAGATTGTGGAATGAGCCGCACTCCTTGGGAGCACAGCCACATGCCTTTGTCCAGCAAGTATTAGATTGGTACAAGGCTGAGACTCAGATGGCTGTGGAATCAATTAGTGTACTGGTACTGGAGCAGATTTCAAAAGTTTCCCAGTGAAGGTGCAGATGTGGATGCACTGACACCAGCTGTCCACATTGCCGGAGACTTTCTGGTAGTAGAGCTGACCCATAAGCCATCTTGATTTTGGCTGCATCCTAGCACTGAAAGGCAATTGGATGCAGGGCCGGCTCCAGGCACCAGCGGAGCAAGCACGTGCCTGGGGCGGCACATGATAAGGTGCGGCATTCCGTCCATTCTTGAGGCGGCAGAGTCCGGGGGGGTTATTTTTTTTTATTTTTTTTCTGCTTGGGGCTGCAAAAATGGTAGAGCCGGCCCTGATTGGATGGGTCAAGACAGACCACTGACGAGAAGAAAGAACATACATTGGATTCTAAGGAAATGAACAAAATGAACAAGCATCCTCTTCCAGAATCCTGAAGGGCCCACCAGCCCCTCCTGTCATTTGTTCCAGTGTGGAGGATGGGAGCATTTTAAATAGTTCTTTAGGGAATGTGACTGCAGAGAGATAAGTGGTCTTACAGAGGCCACATGAATCATGATTCCTTGGTGTTCCCAGGACTAGCCATGTTACAGTGGGTGAGGGAACATTCTCTTTATTTAATCTACAGCACACTTTGCAACCCTCTAGGATGGAAAGAGTAATGTATAAGCTACATTTATGATCCCTTTACAGGTCACTCCTCTCCAGGCTGCCCTGATCAGTGGGTGGCTTACAGACACAGCTGTTACTTTTTCTCCAGGACAAAAAAGGATTGGCTTTCAAGCCAGGAATCCTGTTCTGCAAACGAATCACATCTACTGGTGATCAGTGATGCCCAGGAAATGGTAAATACCTGTGCACTTTGATTTGTGACCTGACATTGCAGCAATACCATTGGCAGTTGTCTATTTTTCCATAACCTCAGAATCTTCACATCTGTCCTGGAGATCTGTAGGATTATGGGAAAATCAATATCTGTCACAGTAGTGATTAGCCCCTTTCACTTGTAACATTGACAGATGTGTAAAGAACAGGATGTTGGGACACACCCATGATCCTCATGCATCCTGCAGATGTGAGGACTTCTCTTACTTCCACCACAAGAGGGTTACAACCTGTCTCCAAATTCCCAGTTTTTCACTGGTCTATCCCACAAGCCTCAGAATTCTCTGGACTATTAAAGAGGCTGAAATTATCTGTCTCACAGGGCTGGTCCAAATAGAAGGGATGCCCTAATGGATGTTTGAAAATGTACCCCCTGGCATTAGATTGCGCTGTTTGCTCATCAGGATTTGAATCTTCAGGCTGCTCCTGTTTAGATTTCTTGTCTCTTCTGTCCCTCTGAAAACTATTCTAGGACCTGTTCACGGTGATCCACACAGAAGCCCACTGGATTGGATTGAGGAACAGCACTGGCTCTGGGTGGGCCTGGGAAGATGGCTCAGGAGTCAATGATATAAAGTCAGTTTGATATTAGTTATTAATGTTGGTGATGGTGGTGGGGATTTTGTGATTTAAAAAATGGGTCAAGCCTTGACATCCTTAGTGTTTAGTGTTGTATTAATTTAGGTAGAATATATATGCCAAACATGTTACCAAAACCAAATCATTCACCAACTTTAACCAGTGTTAAACATGATTGGGTCTTTGTATCATGGGAAACACATCATTAAAAATCCCTTTAACTTTTTATTAAAGATACAAAAAAGAAAGGAAAAACAGATAAAGCATTTGAAATGTAAAGTATTAAGTATGATTTTATTTTACAACATGCCTTCTTCCCTTTCCCTTTAGCTGGAGAGAGTTTTAGAAGGAAACCTCCCCTTGTCTGACAGTCTTAGAGGGTATCAAAGATGATAGTAACTTGCCTTTTGGGGAAAAGAAAAGAAGTTAGTTGACATTGCTGCTGCTGCTGTTAAAGTTCAAGCCTGTTTCATCCCAGGTGGTTTTGGGGATTCAGCTGGAGCTCATAGGGGTGGCAATGTCATCTGGAGCCCTCTCTCTGGCCCTGTTTGGTCAGGACATTTCTCAGGATCAATATCATCAAGGGCTGGGGTCCTAGGAAACTGTGGGGGTGGCAGCCAGGATGGTGAAGCTTGCTCTAGTAGCCTTCATCTTTTCTCCCAAAAGTCTTTTTTTTTTCTTTAAGGAACCACAAAGGGAATGGTGGCAATTATCCCATCCCCACATTATTTAGTTCACCAATTAGACCTAGTTTCTTATACACCAATTTTGGTTTATTAATTTCTGGTTGCACATATTCTGTTTTCATCAAGCATGATTTCAGTATAGTCTTTGAACCATATTAGTAGGCCTTTTTGTTGACACTAATTCAGTCTTTTTATCTCCCTTTCTATCACACCTTTCCCCTTCAACATTTGTTACAAAACATTATTGTCACATCTCATAAATACATTTCCAGAAATACATTTCACATATTTTTACAGTTGAGCTCCCAGTTAGTGTAAATTTGTAGGGCCAATTTTGAAAACAATAATCAGTCCTCATACACGCAATGGTCCCATTGAAATCACGGAAAAGTTAGCCAGAATAAACACAGGTTAAAAACTGATTAAGGACTCTGGGATTTTGACCAATGGTTTTAATGATGATGATGATAATAATATAACACTTCTCTAGCATGTTCCTTCTGAAGATACCCAAACACTTTACAAACATTAGTTAATGAAGCTGCAAATTACCTTGGTGGAACATTAGTATTATTATGAATTTTATTGGTGGGGAATTGATGGACATGCAAAGTAAATGACTTGCCTAAATTCAAAGTTGGTGGAGTCACAGTTCAGGTCTCAGGATCCCAGTACACTACATTGAAGCACTGGAATGGGTTACCTAGGGAGGTGGTGGAATCTCCTTCCTTAGAGGTTTTTAAGGTCAGGCTTGACAAAGCCCTGGCTGGGATGATTTAGTTGGGAATTGGTCCTGCTTTGAGCAAGGGGTTGGACTAGATGACCTGAGATCCCTTCCAACCCTGATATTCTATGATTGACCACTATACCATGCACCCTCTAATTCTGCCTCTGTTTATGCTGGCTTTACCCACTTTATTTTCTCTGAGTAAAGATATCATCTCCCCCTGAGGAGGAGGCATCCAGTATTGCCACTTTTATACCAGTCCCCCAAACTGGCTGTCTGTGAAAACCAAGTAAATATATACTACCAAATTTGACATGATAATCTGTGTCTAAGGCAAGGTGTTAGTGTTAATGTAGTCCATGGAAGATTACACTATTTATCCATTGTCTGACTGTCCACTTCAGATTCAATCACCCCTGTCACATGCCATGGAGATGCTTCTCTCTTACCACCAAGTTTTGAGTTTTTCTTCCTCCTATTTTGGCAGAGAATCTCCTGCTAATTCTCGTGTGTGTGCGTGTGCGTGTGCATTCTATGCATTTATTTTTCAGGGTAATCTCTAACAGCGCTGTGTCGTCCTGTTGAATGGTTCTCTCTGGGCTTCCAGCTGTGAAATTCCCTCACCATGGATATGTGAGAGAGACCTGAAATAATCTACTGCTGAGCTTTCCTAGAAAATGTCCATTGTTCATGGCTGCAGGATCCTGATGACCCAGCAAGGACACCCCTAAAGCTTCTTCATAGTGGGCAAAATCTGCTAGTACTTCAAAGGAGTTAGTAGCTGGGACTGCCATGATTCCAGCAATCATATAGGTATTTGAATGGAATTGTATCTGAGGCCCTAGAAAGAGCAGCATTGTTTTGATGTGCATGAAGGCAAATTATTCATAAATTAAAATATTGCTGATGTTTGTATTCCAGGTCTTTAACATGATTGTACTGTAAGACTACTGGAAATGGCAAAAAGTAAAAGCTGATTTTATGATATTTTTTACTTTATTACATTTCATTCAATCACAGAAAAATATTCAGATATGAGGATAACATTGGTCAGACTAAAAATACCTTTTTGGGGAAAATAGTTTAAAGGTGTTCTTTAGAGGTATAGTGAGGCCACATATAGAGTATTGCATCCAGTTTTGAGGCCCCCACTACAGAAAGGATGTGGACAAATTGGAGAGAACTGGGGC